AGATGTGTTAGCTAAGCAAGGGGTAAATAGGGAAGAATTATTTTGGGCTCAGTTGTGATTCTTGTTTTTCTTTCCTAGTTTACTTGTAAGTTTCAAGGAGGGGCTGCAGCTCACGCCTCTCGTTGGGATGATGTATGAACTCACTCTAATTTGCTTCTGAATCAATAAACTTATTATTATTCATCAAAAAAAAATGTTTCCAGGGATTTCCATGATAACTCTATTATGCCTGGTACATTGAACTCTACTTTCATTTCTCTTATCCCCAAGTCTCAAGGAGCTGTGCACATCAGGGATTTCAGGCCAATTAGCCTGATTGGAAGTATTTACAATGTAATTTCAAAGGTGCTGGCTAACAGATTGAGGAAAGTTCTGGGTCATATAATTTGCCCTTCTCAGGGGGCTTTTGTGGATGGAAGATAGATTCTGAATGGCTCTCTAGTGGCAAATGAGTGCATTGACTCCAGATCGAAGCAAGGTGTGCCAGGTGTCATTTGTAAGTTGGACATGGAAAAAAACTTACAACCATGTCCAGTGGGAGTTTGTGGACTATCAATTGAAGAAAATGGGCTTTTAGATTGAAGTAGAGGGGCTGGATAAGGAGCTACTTGACCTCTGCGTCTTTTTCTATCATTGTTAATGGCAGCCCCAAAGGTCTATTTGAAAGTGAAAGGGGAATCCATCAGAGGGATCCCGGATCCATAGTCCCCATTTCTGGTGGATTTCTGATCCACCAGAAATCCTAGATCATTTGGGGTAGGAAGTGCTCTCAGATATCATCTTGTTCTCAGGCCCCATTGGTGAAGAAAGATGGCTTGATCAATCTAGGACTAGCTTTTCATCTGTTGAGAATGTTTAGGCAAGGGTGTTTTTAGTCTTTTCCTCTTCTCTTTGTACTTTCTTTGTATTTGGGCACCCAAGTAGGGGCCTCCTTGTAATTTCTTGTTTTCAAAATATAAAGTGCCTTTTGAGGGTTTGAACAGTAACAGAAACACACCACTTGACACATTCTTCTTCTTCTCTCTTCCCTTCTTTCTTTCTCATATAAACCCTAGATTTACAACACTAGTTTAACAACTCAAAGTTTCCTGTTCAGGTTCTAATTTGCGCATCCCCATATGGAGATAAAGGACAATTATCAGGTTGTACCATCATTATTAGGTAGGTGGATGAGCAACAGAGATGAGGTGCTTTGGTCCCTATGCCAAGTTTCTACCACCAAAACAATAAATGAAAATAACAACTTATGAAATGCTTTTTGACATGATAGTACCTGATCAGAAAGTCTCCAACAAATTTTAAATTCTACAGTTGTCAATAGTTCTGGATCTTGCATGTGATCCCAACCCAATCACTGACAAGAAATGCATCTGATTTTCTGGACAATAACATGATGATTTTAAAATCTGTGTTTGAATTACAAAAGTTCTTGGTGAAACTTGATCAATCTCCATACTGAGACAGTAAGTTTAAATAAAATATGGGCCTAATGTCACTCTTTTTTCTGCTATTGCCACTCCCCTTCAATAACTTTTAGTCAGTTAATTGAGTCAAATATGAAGGGAGGAGTCATAGTAGCAAAACCTACAACTTGTTGCATAAGGAATAATTTGACCAAAAGCCTAACTTTGTAGATAGAATCATGGAACAATACAGAACTTTACCTAAAAGCAAATTAGTACCCAATGATAAAGGAAAAGATAGAGCTCAAGAACTCCTGAATACCTTGAATTCTGAAATTGAAGCCTTCATCAGGCTTAATTGTTCTGAAACAAATTTCTCAACCATAAGTATTATCACCTTCTCCTGAGGAACAGGTAATTTTGTCAATGCTGAAAAGCTAGAAGTAGAGAAGCTCAATAAATCCACAACCAACTGCAAAAGAAAGCAAAGATCATACAAAATAACATTTTGAGACATATAGATTACAAAGTGAAGAGAAACTCAGTTAGTTACATCTCTGGATAATGTTTCAGAAATCAGACAACAAGAAATTAATCCAGTGATAAAATATAAAGAAAAAGAGAGAAGAAGAGAAGAAAAGAAAATGAGCAAGAACAGACAGAACAAAATGATTGAAGGTCAAAAAGATGGGCTAGCAGTGTCCTTACTGTTATTAATATTAGGGTGGCATCATTAAAAATATAATAAAAGATAAAAGGACAACTCTATTCCTGTGGCTAAGTAACTACATATTACAACACTCCCCCTCAAGTTGGGCTGAAGATGTCAACCATACCCAACTTGTTACATAACTCATTGTGCTGTAGAGTGCAAAGCATTTAGCCCTTTTGTAAAGACATCAGCAAGTTGCTCTTCTGTATTCACATATGGAGTGCAAAGCATCAAGCGCTTGAACCCTGGTCATTTGTTTTAAAAGTTATGGAACTAGCCAACGATTTAAAAGGCATGCCTAGGCGCACAGGCGAGGCGCATTTTAGCACTTTCAAAAGGTGTGCCTGGTAGGCCATGTGCTTCAGCTCAGGTGCACACCTTTTGAAAATTTGCACATGTTTTCTGTTTTTTTATGTCAAGTGGTTTCACTCGCTCACTGAAGTGCCGAAAACCCCCTATTTGCTAATGTTACTCATTCATTCATCCTAATAAAAGATGTTTTTAAAATACAATCAAAATTATAAAATATTTTTTATAGGGATTAAGAATTTAAGACTTTGATATGGACTTGTTTGGTCTTGCCTCAAGGGGCTTTGTACAAAGGCAGATCATAGAATCAGGAATGCATAATGTTTAACACCACATTAGCTATTTGAAGTAATGCAATTAGGGAAAAAATAAAGAATTGAGAGTTTTACATGCTTGAACATGTTTTATATGTTATGATTGATTTTATTTTAAAATTTTCATTTTAACTATGTTTTACATGTTATATTTATGTATTTTAATTTGAGATAATACTTTTTTGAAACATCTATTTTAAAATTTAAGTTTATATTTTTAATTAATATTATGCTTAACATTTTTTATTTTTTGCATTTTTTTTTATTTTTGGATTTTTTTATTTTTTAGCATTTTTTGCATTTTTTTGCCTTGCTTCGAAAAGGCGTGCACCTCACGCCTTGGGCACAAAATGCCCCTTGCACTTTTAAAACACTAGAATGTTTATTTTTGGATTTTTTTGATATTTTGGCATTTTTTCTATTTTGTAGCATTTTTTGTGCCTTGCTTTGAAAAGGCATGTGCCTCGCACCTTAGGCGCAAAATGCCTCTTGCACTTTTAAAACACTGGAACTAGCCATCTATCCACCACATTCAAGTGTATTAATGTTTGTAAAATATATTATAAAGTATTTATGTGACCACAGTATATATGTTATGTCATCACAATTCAACCCCCAGTTTGATCATGGTTGAACCTCTAACTCATGAACCTCTCCTTTTTCCAGTTCTATGCCTGATCTAGTTCTCTGAACATTGAGAAATTTACTCATTGGTTGTATCTTCAATTATCTTACCAATGAATCAACCAATGCAGCATATAGACAGCCTAAATACAACTATGACAATGAGATATATAATCTTAATTTCAAAATGCTTTGACATCAACTCATTAGTTTTCCAAGTTAAACTTGATGGGCTCATGTAGCTGGCCATCTCCCCAATAATATTAAACTAGACCTTCTCAAGCCATACATTGCAAGTATCTTATTGCCCCCATTTCTTGTCTTTTCTTTCTGTGAGGATACCAGTAGTGTTCCATTTCTTCTTGTCAAACACTTAAGACCTACTCTCAATGTAATGATGATTTCTGCAGTACTATAAACCATTCATATTGAAAGAAGAAGCATTTGCCTTCTATTCTCTTCAAAGTTTAGATATTCAAAATCTGATCCCATGAAACCACAAAGGAAAATAAATTGACCTTAGGAATAGTGAAACTGGAATTAGTAAAGGGATATATTGGGAAAACAGGTAAGAATCTCTAATGTGAATCAAATCTACAAGTATTTATTTATATCTTTGTAGTTCTACAGCTGAATAGTCTTCCAAGATTACATTCAAGTGGACATGAAGGGTGTTCTTCAAGGCTTCACAATTGTATCAAATTAAGTACATCTGAGTGGATGGAAAGAACTACATCAAAGCATCCTAGGATTTGCACATATATATTTTTTATCAGCAAGGATTTGCACATATTGGATGCACTATTATTTATTAAGGGCCCCCTGATGTAGGACAGAAACGAGAAAGTCCGAATAGGATGAACATGGTGGAAAGGAGAATTAAGGAGAGAGCTATTCATACCTAAAATAGAAAAGAAAGAGAAGAAAGATTGCAGCTTTAGGAGGAAATTAGAGAGATAACACCATTAGCTGTAGGTAACTTAAAAAAGAAACTTCTCATTCTATTAGTTTACTCTCATATTTCAATTACAATGGTTCTATTTATAGACTAAACTTCTCATTCTATTAATTCAGCTTCCCAACATACAGTGTACGTCAGTTACAATCCTATAGTAACCTCCCCATGGTACATTAAAAAAAGAAACTTCTCATTCTATTAATTCACTCTCAAATTTCAACTACAATGATTCTATTTATAAACTAAACTTCTCATTCTATTAATTCAGCTTCCCAACATACAGAGTATGTCAGTTACAATCCTAAAGTAACCTCACCCATAGCATATCAAAGTGACTGATCATGAAGCCACAATCTTGAGAATCCCTTAGGTCCAAGGGCAGAAAAGTCTTTGCATGAGTGATCCAAATCACTGGAAGTGACAGATAAATCCTGTGATGGACCAAACCTAGTTGGATCATTATCAATGTGTATCTAATACACACCCACCACATGGCAGTCCGAAGTCTTGCCCCAATAGTTAAGATATCACTATAATGGTAACTGTTTGTATCCACATGCCAACCTTAAAGTGAACTGTCTAAGTCCACCCATAGTTGGGTATTCGAGGTTCACAAGGAACTGGGTCATCTAGATCTCCCATGATGGGTCTCACTCATTACCTAAATGCCCTACAATGTATCTTCTGGACTAACAATTACAAACAGATACAAGGAATAAAAGAATGCCTAAACCAAAAGTCTCACTTTTATTAAATAAAGAAAGAGTTCAAAGATATAAAATGGCTTTAAATGAGCACATGGAAATCATATTCCCAATATGCAATGCCTTTAGTCACAAGGTTATCTACAGTTTGGGTCTTGTTTAGGATTGCAGCCCAAGAAAAGAACACAACTTCAGACGAGATCCTTAGCTTCCAAATCAACTTCCATGGTACATCATCTGAATCTAGACATGCCAACAAGAAGGAATAGGATTTTACCAAGAAAGTCCCATCTTTACTCCCTCTCCAAACTCTACAATCAAGATCACCAAGGCTGGAGGAAATGAGACAGATGCTTGCCAACAAAGAGTTCAGTTACTCCACCTCCCAATCCTGAATATTTCACCATTTCCCACTTTGAAAGAAATCTACTGTGAAGAACCCAATTGCTTCTTCTGGACTTTCAGTGGTCCAATCGGATTGGCTGACTCTAAAAAGGCTGAAGTGATGGCTGTTCTCACAGGAATCAGAATAGTGAATAACCTGGGAATTCAGAACATAATTATTGCAGGTGACTCAGCAAATACCATAAAATGGTTAAGGGACAAGGAGGGGGGACCTTGGAGTTGGAGATTGAGCCATTACTTGACAGAGGGTAGGGACTCCCTGGACTGTTTAAATGCATAACTAACTTGGATTCCTAGGGAACTAAATCACATAGCAGATGGATTAGCCAAATGTGGTGTGTTATTGGAATACCTGTATAGTGATAGGCTTCCTCCTTTGTAAGGTTTTGGGGCTCTACCCCTGTTTTGTACATCCTCTCATGTACTTTTTCTTTTTTCAATGAAATATGGTTAAATTTTCCTCAAAAAAAAAGAACCAATTGCTTCAAATAACCTTCAAACAACCCAAGCTCTAAGATTACAAAACAGGATCAGTGATCCAGTCCAAATCACCCACCTCATAATTACTTTGAATTAAACTCCTCCACAAGGCTTCTCTTTCAATACTAAACTGCCAAATCCACTTGCCCAATAGGGCAGTTTTCATGGCTTTAAGTGGACATAGACCAACTCCCCCTTTTGATTTGGATAATGACTATCATGTAGATGACTGTTTAGTTGATTTTTTTGTAAAGGTCATCTAGCATATCCACTCACTGTAATAGGTGTCTTTGCCTTGTAAATTTTTTTTTGGGTAGAGCTCTCTTAGTAAATGAATACAATACTTTATCTTTCTTCAAAAAACAAGTGAAAATTCTTTAGGGGTAGTGTATAGGTGTCTTTGCCTTGTAATTTTTTTTTTGGGTAGAGCTCTCTTAGTAAATGAATATCTTTCTTAAAACAAGGGAAAATTCCACTTTAGTACCCTGAACTTTGGGGGTAGTGTCAAGTTAGTACCCGAACTTTCAAAAAGTGTCAAGTTGGTTCATGCCGTTAACCTACTGCCAGTTATCTTATCACGTGATGACATGTGTAACTTAAAATTTTTGAAAATGTCAAAACTACCCTTCAAAAGAAGACATTGTTCATTGTCTTCTACCTTAGAACTGAACCGGTTGAGGTGTTTGAGATCTTGGACTAATGAAGACACCGTTCATTGTCTTCTACCTTTAGATGGTAGGCCAACCTCAAACCAGAACGGGAAGAAGGGAGGGGGAAACAGCGGCACCCCAAGGAAATATGAAGTACCTCATTGGCTCACTCTCAGAAAATCGAATAATTTATCTGCACGAAGATGGTACCGCCGGAGTAGGTGTGAGGATATATGGCACAAGTAGTTTGTTGGCCACAAACATTACAAGTGAAGGCCACGCACATTCTCCGGTGAGGCAATTTAGTGAAAAGAGACCATGGTAAGGGCGAGATTTTCTCGGTGCTGGACTCAGATTCCATGCCAACAAGAACGGAGGGACCTTCCATCCCAGAACCCGTAGTCCATCCTCGACCCGTTTCCGCACTCAGAACCAAAACCATCACAGCATCCAAATATATCAAAGAAGTCCAATTAAATAACACAAAAAAAAAACATAAATTCAAAAACAAGAGTAAAAAAAGAAAACTAATGGAACGAAACCGAGTAAAAGAAAAGGAAACACAAGAAGAAAGAGTACCTTAGAAAGGGGGGAAAGGGGTATGCAATTGTTCAAGAGGGGAATGATGTACATTTCATTTGAACTCAATTGTTCAGCACAGCCGTCCTTATCTGATCCAAAATCTAAGACTGTTAAAAAAATTGAAAATTTGAGGAAAATTATGCAAAAGGGGAAAAGGAAAAGATCATACTTTTGGAGGTGATGGGGAACTAAAGAGGTTTGGTTAAGAATTTCTTTTTTGGAGAGAAAATCAACAGAGTCGAAGATGAAGACATGATCGTCGCAGAAGACCCTAGGGTTTCCATAGCAATGAAGGAAAATAGATTTCTATTCTTTTCCTCTTTCCCCAATGTTCAATTGTCGTTGCAAAGAGCTCCGGCAACGTGCAATATGATGTAGCGCGGGATGCCTTTCACTTGTTTACAGGTGTCTCTTATTCAACAAGTGGTTATGCTTGGTGAAGTTTGGTCGCACAACTCTCTCCCCAATTCCTCAGTTGTGGTTTCGGGAGAGGGCTTCATAACTACTAGTTGTGTCTTGTTCTTTCACTTTCAGTAAACCAGAATCCATCGTTTTTTCATGTCATCGGAACCAGTTTCGGGAGAGTGCCTCATAACTACTAGTTGTGCCTTCTTCCATGTGATCGGAGATTATTGCTAGGAAACTGGAGGACCTGCGTGGTGAGATGAATCAAGAATCGATTTCGGAGGTGGTTATTGGTTAGAGATAAGATACCAATCATAAGAAAATTAAAGGATAGGTGAAGGACATTTTTGTCCTTTTACATGATACTTAACGTCCGTTTACGGTTTTGGACCAACTTGACACTTTTTGAAAGTTTGGGTACTTCAGTGACACGTTTGAAAGTTTGGATACTAACTTGACACTACCCCCAAAGTTCAGGGTACTAAAGTGGAATTTTCCCACAAAAAATGTATATAGAAAATTACTCAATGTCCACAAGTAGGAGAGACTTCAAATGGAAACTCTTAAAATTTAATGATTATTCAGAGATTAGATATGTTATTCCAAACTCTAAACTACTTTCTAGGAAGATGCTTCCATTACCCACTATTGATCTCAACTTTCCAAGGTCTAGGGCGGTGGATAGAAACTAGCCTCCAGAATTTTTAGCAGAAAAGTCAATGCTCTGCAACTCAAAAATGCACTTTCATGCTTGTCAGCCCAAGATTTAATTATCTCACCAAACAATGGCCCCTATGTTATATGAAACCTTACAACGGGCATCATACCCATGTTGAACATATGTGGATACCAATACACAACACTTTTGGGGATTCCTCTCTTTGTCACATTTGTAATACATGATACAAAACCTCAAAATATTAAGTTAAAATTTAAACATGAATGTTGAAATTTGATAATATATAACCAATCATTGTTTAGTGTTGTTTGTACTAATTTATGCATCTACATTAAAACTTTTTCTTTTTCAATAATTATCCCATTATTTATATAGCATAATATATATTTAAAAACATGACTAAAAACTAAAGTAGTCAAGTACATTGTATCCTACTTTTCAGGCTTGGCAAATCCTGCACCTTGTATCCATGTCTGATTTTGACACTTAGACCAGTATCCATGTAACATACAGTATAATGGAAGCAAATTCCTCGGAATCCAGATTGAACATTTCATTCAACAGATTGAACATCACTTAGAGGGAGGAAGCAAACAGGACCCCAGGGGAGTAAACCAGGTGTATATGCAATTTTCAGATAATCAAATGCTGATAATGCATTTTCTGCGGCTTTTTTCGCTGACTATAGTTAAGCAAGTCTCAAACTATCCTTTTGCAACATAATCTGCTTTAACTGTTATTGATTAAAAATGAAACACCAACAGCTTAGAGAAATCTTGAGCATAGCAAGAGAGATAGCAAGAGAGATTGGGGTGCAATTTAAATGGGCAAGAAGATCAACAAATGGAATGGCTGATGCTTTAGCTAAGCAAGGAGTTAATAAGCAGGAATTGTTTTGGGCTTGTTTGTAAGTCTGATTTTATCAAAGGGCTGTCCATCTGGCCTTTGGATAGTGACAGTTGTAACCTATAACTATTTTAGTAATGAAAGTTACTGTTTCTCATAAGAAAATTAAAAAAAAAAAAGAAACACAGAAAGGCCCCTTGGAAGACGTATCCAATATAAAAAAAATAATGTTGTTTACATCAACAAAGACGAGAAGGTTATTTTCAAGGAAACCCCTTCTAACGTTCTTATAGAAACATGCCACCAAGGTATCCAACAGAGGCACCACAGAAAAAAGCTATAATAGCAAGTAAACTACTGAAATTGGAACCACAGATTTATGTAGAATATCATTTACCTGAAAAAAGACATTGTCATGTTCTTCATCTTGAGGATCCTCAGATGATATAAGTGTCATCTTGATATGTTTTCCACACCATATGCTTGCCTAATAAATGATACTCAAAAGCATTATATAATCTGTTTTATATAGATACTGGTTAATAAAATAAACAAAATAGTCAGGGATGTGGAAACAAGATACCTTAGTTCCAAGAGCAAGAATTTGTCCTAGACAACCAGAAATGTCCAATTCTAAGTATTTTACTGCTACATTCAAAATAGTTTTGTTTAACATGCACTGTGATGCATCCAAGCAAGTAAACTCCTCCCATAGTGTCCAGGTTGTCGTTAAGGTAAAATGCATGACAATGGTAAGTAGCAGAACCACAACATTTTCACTCTAAAACCCCCAAAATAAAACATCTTAACAGAAAATGGTAGCAAATGGAAAAGGAAAGAACAAATGACAACATTCTTCCCATGGATCACAATGTTTTGAGATAATAATTTGATCTTGAGATTTGAGAGAAGTATCTTTCATACTAAAAGCACAAATGGCGAGCCATATGGGTTGTTTTAATTTGTAAACCAGTTAAAAACTTGCATCAATTCTAGCAAAAAAGGATTAAAACTACAAAAGGTGTAAATTGTCCCTATTGTCCCTCTAAATCGATTGGTTACCACAAGAGACAGTTAATAAACATTGGACAAGAAATTAATGTGTATCGAACCAAACTCAAGCAGAAATTTATATGCTGAACTTTCTTTGAAGTAGTTAAAGTTTCCAGAAGACTGGAATTGGACATTTTCAAACTGAAGCAACCATATGCTACTCCATGTTTTGTAGGTTCTCAAAAGGAATATCAATAGGGAAGAAATCGTCACTGTCAAGATGACACCAAGGTAATAAGGTGATTTATTTTTTTCCTTGGATGTTTTTTTTTTATATGTAAATGAGAATTTTTTTTTTAATTAGAGAATGACAGCATTACAAGCAGATAGCAGTACAAGTATAATCAGTACAAGCATCCCTCGGAGAGGCACAAAATCCGACCTCTCCCATCATAATGAGAAAAAAAAAAACAATTACAACCACGCCCAAAACAATTATATCAACAAAGGCATTGGCATTTGGCAGCCTTCACCCTTTGTATTCTCAAAGTCATGTTTCTTGTTAGCCATTTAAATTTCTTCATTTCATTTCTATAACCCCAATTACCAACTCTAGCTCCTTTAACCACTACACCACCACATTAGAGTCACTTTCAATTAACAAATTATCCAAGTTCATCTCATATGCAATTTGAACACCCTACAACACTGCAAACAATTCAGCTCTAGTAGAAACCCCCACTCCCACTGGTCCCAAGAAGAGGGCAATGACATTTCCTTCCATATCTCTCAAAAACCCCCACAACTCCAGATGGGGATAAATTACATTGGTTGCTCCCATCAAAATTCAGTTACAAATGCTTCTAGAGGGGGCTTCCACACTAATGTTATTTTTTCCTTCTTGAAGAACTCCTTGCAATTGCATTTCCTCCAAAGGCCATCAAAGGAGAAAAGAGAGAAGAAACCCATGGCTTTCAACCAGTGAATAGCCCTAGCCAATCCACATTCTTTCACTACTTCCTTGCTTCTTTCCTATTTTTGAAAGATTCTTGCATTCCTCTCTTCCTAGATGATCCAATCAAAGCTGATATAAGCATCTCCATATAATCCTCCTCCTTTCTTCAGCAATGCAAGAGTTCTTGGATCAAAGAGACCATTTACCTTTCATTGACAAGTGCCATCTGCACCCAAATAAAGAAAACAACCATTCCCAAATATTTGCAGTAAAAGAACAAGAGATTTGTAAGTGATAATAGCTCTCACCATTGGATTTGCAACTTGGGCAGGTTAAGCAGGTTTAAGGGCAAATATAACAAATAAGATTAAGTTTAGCATGAGATGGAACAAAAACATGAGCAAAGCATAAAGCCATAAATATCTAAAGAACTCATTAAACAAAAAGCGATAAGTAGAAAGCTGTAAGAAAGGATAAGAAGATTAAGAACCAAAGAGTTGTGGTGATGGCACTAGCTTTGGTATTTATATTAGAGTGATAAAAAATAAAGTAAAAATATAATATTGCCCCTACAGCACTAAAGGTGAACTTAAGACAGCCTTTTAACACTCTCCCTCAAGTTGGGACATAGATGTCAATCATGCCCAACTTGCAACATAAATTATTATGCCGCAAGTGATGTAGGCCCTTTGTGAAAATGTCCTCAAGTTGCTCTTCAGAACAGACATAGGGTGTACACATTTCCCCGTTGACAAGATTTTCCCTGATAAAGTGTTTGTCCACCTCAATATACTTGGTTCTATCATGGAGAACTAGGCTGGCTGCAATGTTGATGGTAGCCTTGTTATCACAATATAAAGTCATGGGACTATCAATTGTAAATCCCAGCTCACCCAACAAATTTTTTTATCCACATAGTCTCAACCACTCCATGAGATATTGCTCTATATTCAGCTTCAGTACTAGCCTAGCCACTACATTTTGCTTTTTGCTTCTCCATGTGACTAGGTTCCCTCCCACAAAGGTACATCACAAGGTGTGGGACGAGGAAGGAGGAGAAGATGAGGGATTGAATGAGATTGAGTGAATTGGGGGGAGGGGGAAGACAGGGAGAAGAGGAGGAAATTGAGGATTCTCAGTTGGAATGTTAAGGATATGAGGGGTGGAAGAGGGAGATAGTGAGGATCATGCTTCAAAGTATAGGGTGAAGAAGGAGGAGATTGGGTGGAGCTTAAAGCTTCAAGGGTATCAGGGGAAGCTGTAAATTTTATGGTTTTCAGAGGTATTTGAAGCACTTTGGAACTGAATCCTTGTAATTTTGACTCTTTTACAGTGTAATTCTGTTATGTTCTTGGTTTGTCAACTAGACAACAAGCATTTTGAGATGTATTGCTTTTTTCAGTTTAATGAAATTTCTTTTTATCCTTAAAAAAAAAATTATCCTGCCCAATCTACATTTGTATACACCTCAACTTTCAAATGCCCATGCTTCTAGAGCAACAAACCAGCACTTGGGAAATTCTTAAGATATCCAAGGATTCTCTCAGCTATTTCTAAGTGGGTGGTCTTAGGGGCATGCATGAACTAACTAAGAACACTCACAATATAAGAGCCTTCCCACAAATCTCTAAAATTGTTTCACATTATTGACAAACTAACCATGAAAGTCACCTAATTTGTGATTTGGATCAATGGAGGAATTAGTTGGCTTCAACCATAGTTTTCAAGGCACCAGGGCAAGGCTAGGCAACAAGGGGAGCGCCTTGTCGCCTAGGCAATAGATTTTTTGAAGTAAAAATATGTATCCTAGGGTAGTTCCTTAGGTTCCATAATCATATTTCCTTAATAATTATCCATAATTTTCATGAGAAAAGTATAAACTTCATGTTAAAGTATAGAAAATCAACATATTCACGAGAAAAAAAAAAAGAAGAAAAGAAATTTCAAAAAATATAAGGGCTGAACCCCTATTTCTTTATAGGAAAAGAAGAAAAGAAAAGGTGGAAGAAGAAAATTGGTCATGTATCTTCTTGAATTTGGGATGCGAAATGAAAAAAAAAATGCTTATAGTTCTCAGAAAATCATGGTAAATGTGTTTAAATCCAATAAATAGTCTTGTATCAAACTGTAGAAGCCTCTTTCCTTTCTATGCAGGTCAGATATCATCTGAGCTCCATGATAACACCAGTCCCTGATATCCTCAAAGTAGAGAAAGAGTGAAGATTGTTCCTGGCTCTGATATCAAGTAGTAAACCAAAGGTAAAATTACCAATCCAGGTCGAGAAAGAAAGAAAGAAATGTAATGAGAGGAAGGAAAAAGAGATAGAAGAGAAGATATCACACAGATGAGAATAGGTCAATTCATACCACATTCCCATGTTTTTTCTTTTTTTGAATTGTTCCAATGGTTCAGATAAGTCCTGTTCAGAGAGAGAGAGAGAAGGAGAAGAAGTTGTCAAACTAGAAAGAATTAACCCTCTAAGTGAATTAAAAAAGACAAAACAGAATTGCCACCTCATCACATAAAATATAATGAAAAGACTAAGCTACCCTTACTCGACCAACTCTAACACTCTCTCTCAAGCTGGAGAATATATGCCATATAATCCCAGCTTGTTACATATATAGTTCACTCTCCCTGAACTCAAACCTTTTGTAAACAAGTTTGCCCATTAATCACCTAAACTCATGTTTTGTACTTATCTCTCCAGTAAGGACTTTTTCCCTCACAAAATGGCAATCAACTTTTATGTGTTTTGTTCTCTCATGGAAAACCGGATTAGATGAGATGTGGATTGCAGCTTAGTTGTCACAATACAATCTCATAGGTTTGTTCATTGAGAATCCAACCTCTTGCAGAAGATTTTTCAGCCATACTAATTCACATGTGGTGTATGCCATGGCCCTATATTCAGCTTCAGCACTACTCCTTGCCACAACAATCTACTTCTTACTCTTCCACGTCACCAGATTTCCTCCAAGAAACGTGTAATAACCTGTAGTGGATCTCCAGTCAGACACTGAGTCTGCCCAATCTACATCTATATACCCAACTATTTCAAGTCTCCCCTTGGTTTGTACAATAACCCATGACCTGGAGCTCCATTCAAGTACCGTACAATTCTAAGAACTGCATCCCAGTGAGGTACTCAGGGATTTTGCATAAATTGGCTCACCACACTAACAGCAAAGGAGGTGTCTGGTCTGGTAATGGTTTAGGTAGTTCAACTTCCCCACTAACCATCTATATCTTTTAGGATCATCAAACATTTCACCTGTATCACTGCTCAACTTAGCATTTGGTTCCATGGTTGTTTCAACTGGTTTCACACCTAAGAAGCCCTCCCCTAATCGATGAAGAGAAGAGGGTTGATTCGTGTGGTGCAGTGGGTGTCTTGTGTGGTCTGRTTTCTTTTTGTGTGGTTTGYTTTTCGGGTGATGAGGTAAGAGATTTCTATGCATATTTTTGTTATGAATCAAATAGGAAGTATGTTTCAGATCGTATGGTGGGGTTTCAGACTGTAGTATGCTAG